ATGGAGGACTCATCGTTAACATGTACAAACTGAAATCGATCTGATAAATAGGACTTAAACCAGCTTAGAGCGGTTCCTTTAATGCCAATGAAATATTCCAGTCTCTGCAATAGGATCTGATGGTCAATGGTATCAAATGCAGCACTAAGATCTAATAAAACCAGTACAGAGACAAGTCCTTTGTCTGATGCAATAAGGAGGTCATTAGTAATTTTCACCAGTGCTGTCTCTGTGCTATGATGAGCTCTAAATCCTGACTGAAAATCCTCAAATAAACTATTGCTCTGTAGAAAGTCACACAGCTGTTTAGCAACTGCTTTCTCCAGAACCTTAGAGAGAAATGGAAGGTTAGATATAGGTCTATAGTTGGCTAAAACATCCGGATCAAGTTTGGGCTTTTTCAGAAGAGGTTTAATTACAGCTACTTTAAAGTACTGTGGTACATAGCCTGTTGATAAAGATAGATTGATCATATCTAGTATAGAGGTGCTGACTAAGGGTAAACATCTTTAAGCAGCCTAGTCGGGATGGGGTCTAAGAGGCAGGTTGATGGTTTAGATGAAGAAATTATTGAAGTTAGTTGGTAAAGATTGAGGGAAGCAAAACAGTCTAAACATGTATCTGGTTCTACAGCTGTTTCTAAGGTTCCTGAGTTAAGAGATAAGTCGGTGCCAATTGAGGGCAGGTCTTGGTGAATTTTGTCTCTAATAGCTAGAATTTTATCATTAAAGAAGCTCATGAAATCGTAACTACTGAGAGCTATGGGAATACTTGGCTCAATAGAGCTGTGACTCTCTGTCAGCCTGGCTACAGTGCTGAAAAGAAACCTGGGGTTGTTCCTATTTTCCTCTATTAATGACGAGTAGTACGCTGCTCTGGCATTACGGAGGGCCTTCCTATAAGTTTTAAGACTATCTTGCCAAATTAAACGCGAATTTTCCACTTTGGTGGAACGCCAATTCCTCTCAAGTTTCCGTGATATTTGCTTTAATTTGCGAGTTTCAGTATTATACCATGGAGCTAACCGTCTTTGTTTTAGTATTTTCTTTTTTAGAGGGGCTACAGAGTCGAGTGTCATTCGCAGCGAGCCTGCAGCACTATCAACAAGATGATCGATTTGGGAGGGACTGAAATTAGCATAGGAGTCCTCCGTTACTTTGTGACTAGATAATGTATTTAGAGCTGATGGAATCGCATCCTTAAATTTAGCTATGGCACTATCAGACAGACATCTTGTATAGAAATTTTTGCCCAATGGCGAGTAGTTCAGCAATACAAACTCAAAAGTTATCAAACAGTGGTCGGATAAAGAGGGATTCTGTGGGAACACCACTAAATGTTCAATTTCAATACCATACACCAAAACAAGGTCGAGGGTGTGGTTAAAACAGTGAGTCGGTTCATGAACACTCTGAGAGAAGCCGATGGAATCTAACAAAGAGATAAACGCAGTACTGAAGCTGTCATTCTCAACATCCACATGAATATTAAAATCTCCTACAATAATAACTTTGTCCGTTTTAAGGACTAAAGTTGACAAAAACTCTGCAAATTCAGATAAGAATTCAGAGTACGGGCCAGGTGCTCGGTACACTATAACAAAAAGAATTGGTTGCAGTGATTTCCAACTTGGGTGCGAAAGACTAAGAACAAGACTTTCAAATGAGTTATAGTTTAGTTTAGGTTTAGAGCTGATTAGTAGGCTAGAGTCGAAGATAGCTGCAACTCCACCTCCTCGGCCTGTGCCTCGAGGAATGTGAGTATTAATATGACTGGGAGGGGTGGATTCATTTAGGCTAACATATTCTCCATCACCCAGCCAGGTTTCAGTAAGACCAAATAAATCAATATCATAATCTGATATTAGTTCATTTACTAGTACACCTTTGGAAGAGAGAGATCTGATGTTTAAGAGTCCACATTTAACTCTCCTATTCGTTTGCACTATTGCTCTTGTGGTTTTAATTTTTATGAGGTTTTTATGCACAGCTCCTCTTCTGTTTACCTTTTTAAATAATTTCGATGGTCGGGGGGCAGACACCGTCACTATAGGATTTTCACTAAGTAACTCCTGAAATGGAGGAGCAGAGAAGTGTGTTAGACTGCGACTCTGCGTAGGGTTTTGGGTGGGTAACTGCTGAAAAAGAAGGGCAGAGAAGTGTGTTAAACTGCGACTCTGCCTCCTGGTCTCAACTCTGAGACCTTGGCCTCAACATTACATACACAGGGAACTTCAACATGGCCGTGAAAGATCTGAGGGACAAAGCAAGGAGAGCTTTCTATGCAATAAAAAGAAACATTAAAATCTATATTCCAATTGAAATCTGGCTTAAAATTTTCCAGTTTGTACTAGAACCAATAATTAGGTAGCGACATCTGGGGGCCAAAACTTAATAATGAATTTGACAAATGGGACAAAACAATCATAGAATCCTTCCATACTGAGTTCTGTAAGAGCATCCTGCAGGTGCAGAGAAAGACACCAAATAACCTGTGCAGAGCAGAGCTCGGCCAATAAAAATACAGGAAAGATCACTTAAATTTTACAATCACTTAAAATCAGTTAACCCCCCGACATATCATCACAAAGCCCTAACATACCAGGAGCTGAAACCAGAGAAGAGTCCCCTCAGCCAGCTGGTCCTGAGGCTCTCTGCAGTAACAAGTCCCCAACAGCCTCAGGGCAGCAACGCCAACTCAAGCAGACCAAACCAAATTATCAGCAAGCAGAAACAAAAATATATTGAATACTGGAAAGAAACGACCAAAACAGAAAGTAAATTACAATGTTATCTGACCCTAAAAAGAGAATTCACACTGGCAAATTACCTGAGCACAATAAAATGTCCCAAACTAAGAAAAATGTTGACAACATACAGACTGAGTGAACACAGCCTGGCCATAGAAAAGGGTCGACACAGACAGAGCTGGCTACCACAAGAGGAGAGACTCTGCTGCCAGTGTGACAGAGGACAGGTAGAGACAGAGGACAGGTAGAGACAGAGCTGCACTTTCTAACCTCATGCCCCAAATATAAAACACATTATTATTATTACTACATGTCAACATGTATAATATTTGGCTGCAGCAGAACGCAGTTTGTGCACCGAAGGGCTGGAGAGTGGTACAAGAATGAGATGCACCTAGAAGAGTTGCAGCTGTATTGAAGGCTAAGGGTGGTCACACCGAATAATGGTTTGATTGCTTAGGTGGACGAAGCAGGATTTATTGAGATTATTGACATGTGGTTTGAAGGTCAAATGTGACACCTACATTTCTGGATGGAGATTTTAAATTGGTTGTCAGTGGACCAATATGGTTGTAAGGTGATCAGGGCCAACGATTATTACTTCTGTCTTGTCTGAGTTTAGCTACAGAAAGTAATAAATCATCCACAACAGCAGTCAAGCACTTTATTAAACTGCCCAGACAGCCAACGTTAGATAAAGAGAAAAGTAGATCCCTGTAAAATAAATCTTACGCACTTCACCTTTAAACACGATAATGATAATGTTTCCTAATGGATGCATCCAAAGGGAAAACAACACTGGACAATGACTAGATCCTTGTGGCGCCCTGCACATCTGCAGAGGGGAAGATGAAACATAATTAACGATGAAGACAGAAAAATTCTCTATTTGACTGACAGTGTCAAACTCAGCGCTGAAGCAGGAGCAATAAAACAGAATGTTCCCAGCATGAGCACACATCAGTCTTTCGTATTTAACCATAATGAGTGTTGTTTGTGAAACCCATCAAAAATGCTATTATCACCTAACACAGCTAAGAATTGAGTTAGCACCACCTTTTCAAGAACTTTGGATATGAAAGCATATTTTTTTTTATTAGAGGCTGAATGCTGGCTTGCTTTAAATAATTACGAATGCGGCAGAAAGTAATGGAACAATTAATAATGTGATGTAAGCTAGAGCCAATGTCACCCATCACCTTTTACAGGAGTGAGGTGGTTAAGATGTCAAGAGGGCTTGAAGAGGAAAGTGTGTGAGAGACAGTATCGATGAGCTCAGGAAGAGAAATTAGCTGAAAATGGCTGAGCAGTTCAGGACAGTAGTAGTAGCTGTTAGACCTAATGTTAGTGACTTTTTGCTTAGAAAAAGATAATAAAAACAATTCACAGTCAGCATTTGAAGAGAGTGGTAAGGCAGGGGGAGCAGGGTTGATAAGTCTGTCTAATCTAAAAGTATGTCTAAACAGGAATCTAGGATCACGCTTGTTACCGGTTATTAGGTTAGAAAAGCAGTTGGCTCTGGTGTCTCTCATTTCTTTATTGTAAGAAGTCAGAAAGTCTTTCACATACAAAGCAGACATGCAATTTAGTCTTTTTCCAACTTAATTCTGCTCTTCTGTTCAATCTTTTAAGACTCCTGATGTTATTTTCAATACAAGGAAAAGTTTAAGAGGCAACTTTGATCTGAGATTAATGGGAGCAGTGGAGTCTAAAGTAGTTTGACAGAGATTGTTAAGGCACTAATAATTCTGCTATGATGTTTTGGGGCAGCATGTACAATGTCAAACTTAATACAAACGTGATCAGAGACAAGACCACAGAAGAGATACTCAGACAAAGGGAAAGACTATACCTAATGTGTGGCCATGGTTATGAGTTGGTCCAGAAACATGCTGGACTACATTAAATCAGTTTGTTGAATCATCAGTGTGGATATTAAAACTGCTAGCACTAGTAATAGTAATGTTGTCTGCATAAAGATTGTTCTGTCAAGAGTCAGTCAGTGTTTCCTTATCAGCTACTTGTTACCTGATGGAAATGATGTCATTTAGTGAATTACAGCACCACAGCAGAGACAAACTCACTATTTGTCAGAGTTGTGAGAGGAAGGAGGGAGGGATTAAGGGAGGAGCAAAACTAGGACTCAAGGACAGAAAAGACAACAGATGATGAAGAGGAAGGGCCAATGATGTGAAGGCCCAGATCCATCAGAGTATCAATGTTCTTCCTCTCTCTCCTCCCCTCTCACTGCAGACATGAACCACTGGCTGAGAAACATCCTGATTCTGACTCTCTGGCTAGGTAACTCTTTAAACCTACTGATTGTTCTCCTTTAATCAATCATCTTTATTGATCCATCTCTTCCTCTGCATGTTCTCTTCTTCCCCAGAGTGTAAAGGAGAAGACAGAGTGACCCAGCCAGCAGGAGATGTCATTGCTGCTGAAGGAGACACAGTTACACTTGGCTGTACTTTTGAGACCAGTGACCCAGGTCCAACTTTGTTCTGGTACAAACAGGATGGAAACAACAGCCCCAAATTCATGTTGAGCCGCATGCAAGGGGTCGAAGTAAAAACAGAGGCCGAGTACAAGGAGAGATTTTCATCCACACTGGATTCCACCTCAAGATCAGTTCCTCTGAAGATCCAGAAGCTTCAGCTGTCTGACTCTGCTGTGTACTACTGTGCTCTGCAGCCCACAGTGACAGGAAACACCAAAACTCTGTACAAAAACCTTTGGAGCAAAGACAACAGAATACTCCACAACGTCCACTAGAGGGAGTCACACACTGTTAAACTTCAGTGTGATGATGAAGTCTTGAATCAGTTTACTCCATCACCAGGATTGTGATGTAAAACTTAAAAATGAAGCCACTAAAAATATATTTACCCTAAATGAATAAACGTGTTTAAATGTTATAGGTTTAAAATATTTCGATAAGGCCTAAAATAGCTAGCACGTAGTAGTTGTTCAATTCTTTATTTAATCACAACATCAGTTTCCATTCACTACCAAAGACCAGGCCAGTAAAGATATGGATTTTGAATATGGGATCAGAGTGATGAATGAGGTAATGGAAAGGTGAGAGATGGAGAGTTGAGGGGAGGGATCATGGTGATGGATGGAAGGAAGAGAACGATGGATCGGTGGCAGGTAGGCAGGAGGGATCCAGGGGAGTTGAGACTGAGGGGGGAACAGTCTCTTCATGTGCTCTGTATCACATAGAACCCCAAGAAGAAACTTCAAATGGAAAGATGTTTCAGACAGAGGCGGAGCCAGACGCTGTAAACATTCGGGGCTTAGCACAAACCTAGGGGGGTCCGGGGCCATGCACCCCCGGGGAGATTTTTTCCCATTAAGCCGGCTACGTGCACTATTTTTCATGCTGTTTGAGATGAAAGAATGCCTAACAACCTAGACACTATCTGGGAAAAAGATGAACGTTGCTTTGGAAAATAATCGTCCTGTAGAGCTCCAATCTATTTTTGATTTAATTGTTCTCCAGCTGGAGTTAATCCAAAACACAACTAATGTTGAAGATCACTCATTTTCTCTCCTGGCAACTAAAAAGAGACAAAACTTATCTGATGTTTCTGTTTTTAACTTACATAACCAAGGTACAGTAGAAATATGGTGTTTCTGATCATCACTGGAGGTGGGAATCTCTCAGCACCTCATGATTCTATTTGATTATAAAACATTTATAAAATCTTTGAATAATCTCTTTGTGTATGTGATTAGTGGATAATTACTAAACATTTCATTTACACATTAAAATCCAAAACGTCTCATTAGCTTAGTTTACATCCCTAATTTACTTTAATTTCAGCTCCTTCATGGTCACCACCGTCCTTCTCTCAGCCCTAAACTTAATATGCAATAAATTAAATGCATATCTTATTCTCTTTACTTCTGGCATCTGTGCTCCCTTCACTCCTTTCTTCTAAACACATTTTCATCTCTTGTCCCTCTTCCATTTCACCTGCTTTCACTTTTATTTCTTCTGGAGTCCCTGGATCACCAGTTTGTAGTTAATCCAGCTGCTGTGACGCCCGTCCTTCCTCTTCCCCAGCTGACTCATCTGGGGGACAAAATAACAGTCTCAGACTCAAACACAGTCAGATCAGCTGACAGTAGCTAGCGAGTGGTGATGAGTGGATGAAGCATTATGAACCTTTGGGGCTTTAAGCTAAGCAAACACAGCTGCATCTGGTGACGTGTAAAACTTTTAGACTGAGGCCGAGACGCCACCACAACTGGCTGAAACTAATAACTTTAGTCTCATGTGTGCAATAAAAGTCAAAAAGGGTTAGGGTTAACCTGACGGTTGATATTTATGAGATTCAGACATGTGATGTGATTGGACAGTGATATTCATTAAACTAGCCTATTATTACTTTTGTTACATCAGTACAGGAGCATCTCAAATCTAAAAAAACTGAATATGGTGGAAAAGTTCATTGTGAGCACCAGAACCAGACAGAGATTAAAGGCTTAAGAAACTTTTGCAGGTGTTTTGAGTTAATTAGCTGATAAGAGCTCTTCTCAGGTCGACATTTCTCTATAATAAATCATTTATTCTGAAATTCTAATACATTTTGTTTTACTAGAGTTTTGATTCTATGAGCTGTGAGCCCTAATCATCAAGATTAAAATGAAAAAAGGCTTGAAATATTTATAAGATGAGATTTTTGAATTAAATTATGGAAGAAAATTATTTACAGCAGATGCACCTGTAGGCTACTTGGGATATTTGTCACCAGGAGGAAATGTCCTCATACTTTCTCATGTCTTTCTAATCTTTATCTCCATATTTCTCAATTGTTCTCTCTTCTTATCCCACTAATGTGCTGAGATCAGCTGGAAAACGCCCTGAGATGATCATGTGATACAAGATCAGGCACAATGTGTTGAAAGTGTGCGCTTCACAGGAGGAAAACGAGCCTCAGAATCAGCCGAACATCTCTAATAGTGAGATAATATCACCTAATAACATCTAACTAGCCAGAAATACAGTCACTGAACTCAAGTGTTACAGCTGCAGACTCACAAACCTGAAACACTTGTTCACTGTCTGACGCTGCTTCTCTCTGTGAACGGCCGGTCAGGTTTACCTCTGCGCATAACAAACTTTGTCCATAACACTAGCTGGTTAGCTAGCACGCTCGCTCACTGAGGGGGCGCCAGTAAAACAGCACAGACAACAGCGTCCTATCACGATGCCAAAGAAGAAGAGTTCTATTTTTCTTCTTCTTTAGTGCTTAAACCCAATTAGCCCCACCCCCTCCGCTCCGCCCATGGTTTCAGATGTTGTTGGTTAGTTGCGGAGGTTGATGAGGTACGCAGGAGAGTGTTTGCAGAATGGATGAAATGTCAGACATGGTTGTGTTTTGAGATGGATAGTAGTTGAGGGTAGAAGCAGTGAATTCCAGGCAGAAGCCAAACGAATCCGGTGGGAACATGGATTTGAAAACTGTGCCGTGTACGGACACAGCCTGTTCAGACAGTTCTGGGTCAGAAAAGGCCGTTGGAGGCTAACCCTACCTGCTAGCACATCGATCGCGAGGTGTACAAAAAGTTAGATTCACCTTCGGCAGCAGGCGGGCGTGTGCATGAGCGACTGCGACACTTCACCTCACTCTAACAGGGACACTTGTTACTGAACACAGACTGTTTCTGCTGCTCCCTGATAAAGAAAATTGTTTCTGCCGATACCTGCTCAGAAAAAACTGGTTTATATGTGTTAACCTGTTGCTCTGTTATTTTGGACAAGTTTCAGATAGGGACTCTGTTTGGGCAGATGCTTAATTTTAAATGACTCTGATTAGAACAGGGGACAAAAGAACCTGATCAGGACGTCCCTAATGAAATGTCCTCCATGTTCCCAGAATAAAGAGCAGGTCTTCAGGTAGGCTTCCTTCTAGTGGGACCTGCCTCGGTCTCACAGTGGTGTGAAGAACTGAAAGTGGACATTCAGGAAACATTTCTCTGAGGCAGAGCTGCTCTGGATGCACAAATAATCTCACTGGCTGAACTGAACTTTGGTAGACAGCCAATCTCTAAAAAGGGGATTCTCTGGCCCCGCCCACTGAAGTCCAACTCAACCAATGAGATTCTTTGCGTCTCCAGAGCAGAAATGTTTGAGGAACTAAAAGCACAATCAGCTTGATGTTGAGGAGAAGGGCTGTGCAGCAGAGAGGCTGTTTAGTTTCTTCATTCTACTGCAGTGGAAGAACATTGCTCATCTGCTGTCTGTCTGGCTTTAACAACTCCAAAGACATGTTGCTTTACCTCTTTTTACTTTGCTCTCACTTCATAGGTGAGTGTTGGAACACAGATGAAAGGCTCATTAACCTGCTGGATTAACCAGATATTTGGTCTACATTTCAGAACTAGAGGTTTCTCTGTGGAAGGGAACAACTTCCATGATAGAAACAGACATTTGGTTTATTGAATGAATCCAGAAAGTCAAGAACCTCCGTTGAGTCTCTTGATGTTAGAATCTCTTGCAGACTAACTGACATGAATGACTCATTTTGCAGCCCTGGGTTCCATGAACAGCATAACGCCAGAAAGTCCTGAAGAACATGTTGCAGAGGGAGGAAACATCAACCTGACCTGTAAATATGAGGGTTTCATCAACAGTATCCAGTGGTACCAACAATACCAGAGATCCAGACCAGAGTTCCTGCTCTCCATCACAGAGGGAGGAACAATTCATTCACCTGGTTCAGTTTTCTCAGCTCACATTAACAAAACAGACAAGCGTGTGAATCTGCAGATCATCTCAGCTAAAGTGACAGACTCTGCTGTGTACTACTGTGCTCTG